TACCACTTCACTTCCTATTTCTAATCTAGGGGTCGGTGAAGTCCAATCCTGCAGCATCATCTTACATTTTACAGGGGTGAATCGCATGCCAAACATTCTTAGATTGCAGCTCAAGGTGTTCAGTAGACTCTGCATTTTGTCAAAGTCCTCGCCTAGAAGGACTATATCGTCTGCATATTCTAAGTCAACGAGATTCTTCCCTGGTAGCAAGTCAACCCCTGAGTCGCTGAAGTGAGTTAGGGTTAAGTCCATTAGTACATCTATGATGAAGTTGAATAGGAATGGGGATAATGGGCATCCTTGACGGACGCCACTAGTCGTCACCACTTCAGATGACAACTCGCCATAAGCCCTCACCTGGCTGGATGAGTACGAGTAGAGTGCCTTAATCAGTGCAATGTATTTTCTTGGCATTCCCTTTACAGCCAAGCATCGCCAGAGAACCTCCCGGTCGACAGAATCGAATGCCGCCTTTAAATCAAGAAATATAATGATTGTCGGACGCCGGTAGGAATGCCTATGTTCTAGAATCTTTCGAAGGGTGAAGATATGATCAATACACCCTCTCTACCTGGCCTAAAACCTGCCTGGTTTCCTCGTGTTTGTGTCTCCCGAGCACCACTTAGTCAACGCATGATTATTGAGCCCAGGATTTTGGATACTATATTAGTCAAGCTAATGCCTCTGTGATTATCACAAGAAGACTTGTCTCCCTTCTTGTATATCGGGATGATCAGTGACTTACACCAACCCGATGGGACTTCCTCTGATTCCCAGACGCTGCCTAGAACTTCAGTTAACGCAGACAGTAAACTGTCTCCACCATACTTAAATACCTCTGGAGTCAATCCATCAGGTCCCGCTGCTTTGCCTTGCTTCAGATTAGTGGCTGCTCTAGTAACCTCAGTTAGGGACGGAGGACCTGTGTCTATATCCCATTCAGGGAGGTGTTGGATGTCCGGCAGGCTAAGTGTGGATGTGGGCCAATTAAACTGCTCCTCGTAGTGTTCTTTCCAGCGCTCCAGACGTCTATCCTGGGAGCTAATTATGGTGCCATTTTTTTCAGAGATTGTTTCGCTTATCATTTGCCTTTTACCACCTGTTTCCCTGATAAGCCTGAATAGTTGTCTGGTGTTGCCTATCGACGATGCTTTTTCCATCTCTTTCGCCTTTGTCAACCACCACTGTTCACGGTCCTTGCGGAGACTTTTCGTAAGTTTCCTTTTGTGCAGCTTTCGCTCCTCATTGAATTCGGAGCTCGCCGGAGTAAGTCTTCTAGCATCTATCAGTTCGGATGAGGCAGTCGAAATCCAATGGTTTTTACTCACCTTTGGATTTACCTTATTCACAGCTTTTACAGCTGTATCTATGGCTGATTGAATATTCTTCCAGGCTTCTTCAGGGTGAGCGCAGCTGTCGAACTCAGATATGTGTTTAGCTAGTTCTTCCTCAAATAGGGACTTAGTTTGCTGATCGAGCTGGGGACGTGATGGTTTTACCGCCAGCTGTTTCCTACGTCCGTTCAGTCGTAAGCACACACGAGCGCGGACCAGTGCGTGATCGGTATCTACACACGTGTTCCAGAAGGAGCGGCAATCTCCTACCGACCCACGCCAACGATAGCTTATTGCTATGTGGTCTATTTGTGTCCAGCGTTGATTTGATGATGGGGGTCGCCAAGTCAAACAGTGTCTGTCCTTGTGTTTGAAGTTAGTGCTTACAAGAAACAAATGATTATCTGAACAGAACTGTAGGAGACGGTCACCGTTGTCGGTTCGCAGGCACGGAATTCCGTATGTGCCACCGACATTCTTCTCAGATTGACACAATTTCCCCACTTGAGCATTAAAGTCACCAGCTAAAACGACTATATCTGAGCGTTTAGCCTTTCGCAGCAGACTAGACAGCTTTTGGTAGAACTCATCCTTCGTTTCATCCGAACTGCAGTCAGTGGGGGCGTAGGCGGAGATTACGAAAACGCATCGGCGAGTAGTGCAGTCCTTTCTCCTTTTCACTGATCCGTTCAGACGGACAGCACACATTCGGCTATCTGCCGGGATTCAGTCAAGTAATGTCTTTTCTGCTCTAGTACTTAAAGCTATCCCAACACCAGCTAATCCTCGAGAGCTAGCCGTCGCATCTCCTGACACCCTCAAGGTGAATTTTGCAGGTTTATCCTGTTGGCCAGGTGGGGTTAGGTGAATAACCACACTTGGGTCTTGTATGCGTGTTTCTGAAACACAAAATACATCAATGGCTCGGGATGCCAGAGTCTTGGCTAGTGATGCCTGTTGTCCTATTTGGCAAAGTGTCCTAACGTTAAATGCCCCTACCTAATGATAATAAGTCGCCTTACAAGGCTTCTACTTCTCATACAGGCGCTATATCTCCTAACGATGAGCTCGCCAGAGCCATGACCAAGTTTCTGGACATGCCTAAAAGAGAGATCATTAAGTTTGACGGTAATCCTGTAAATTATTGGAATTTTGTAAAGAATTTTGAAGACTTGGTGGATAATGATGCTATTGGATACCGAAGTAAGCTAAATTACTTAATTCAGTATTGTGAGGGAGAAGCCAAAGATGTAACCAAACACTGTGTTTTGTTAGAGCCAGAGGAAGGTTATTATAAAGTCCTAGAACTGTTAGAAGAAGCATTTGGGCAAAGGCATGTTGTGGCCCGGACTTTCATAGAGAAACTCCTAGAATTTCCGAATGTTAAAAGCAATGATGAGGCATTATTAAGAAAGCTATCTCACGAGATGCAAGCCTGCGAACTGACTTTAAAACAGATGAACTATGTTTCAGATTTGAATTCTGGTAAGACTATTGAAAAACTAGTCCTAAAACTCCCTTTTCATTCATAGAGAGAATGGATAAAGGTGGCTTGCAACGTCATAAAGAGCGGTCGTGAACCATCATTTAGCGACTTATGCATGTTTGTTAAGGAGCAGTCAGATATGGGTAACACCAGGTATGGGCTGCTAATCAATGGGCATTCCACGGGGATAAATAGTAAAGAGTTTAGCATCCCTACGAAGAAAAACTCTGATTCTAAACACCGAGTGTTTGTTACCAGGCTCTCAGAGAATAATGTCGAAAAACCGAGTAATGATCCTAAGAACGAGTCACGTTTATTTATCCCACCCTGTATATTATGGTTGGGAGGACATTTCCTAGACCAGTGTTCGGAGTTTAAAGATAAGGACCTTGATGAACGTCTGGCATTTGTTTCCAAGAGAAAACTATGCAACGTATGTTTAAAAGCAAATCACATAGCAAAGAATTGCCGTCCTCCAAGGTCCTGTACAGTTGAAGGTTGTGGTTGGAGATACCATACATTTCTTCACAGAAGCCAGGGATTATCCGACGATATGAAAAATGATGTGCGTATCAACGCTCAGCAGTGTAGTGATATGACTTTGGACAAGACTCTGGCAAGTGAAACAGCATTCGCTATAGTGCCCATCTTAGCCAGATATAATGGTAATGTCGTTCAAATCTGTGCGTTTTTGGATAGCGGTTCAGACGCAACATTGGTCACAGAAGATCTAGCAAGAGAACTAGGTTTAGTAGGAGCAACTAAGACAGTCTCCCTTAAGACGCTTGGTTCACATTCCACTTTGTCTTGCAAACAGGTGCAACTAGAAGTCTCTCCGTTGGATTCGTCCCTTCATGTTACTGTTTCCAAAGCATGGGCAGTAGAGAAGTTACCACAGTTACAAAGAGTTGTGCTGACAGCAGATCAGATGGCTTCATGGAGTCACTTAGATGGGATAGTTTTACCAGAGGTTAAGAATAAAGAAATTAAGATGTTTATTGGCTGCAATGTGCCAGAAGCTCACGTAACTATCGATAAAAGGCTTGGAGGAGCTAACGAACCTTGTAACATGAGATGTGTTGGTTAAGGTATTCGAATTCATGGGAAGAAGTGAATGTGAATTCTATCTCATTGATAATACTTCGTCTTTGAATAGCCTAGCAACATGCCTTATGTTACGAGTGAACAAATAACCATGTGAATAGAAGTAGGCTCAACTGAGTTTTTCGCACTATGTGTCGTGGTGGTTGAATAAATAGATGAGAAAGATTTCTAAGGAAAGCAAGTGTTTGCATTGTTCAGTATGTCGACTGGTCGCTAGAGGGTAACCGATGGATGTTGTTCGTCGACAATTCTACAGTTTGAGTACTTTACTTGTTGACATTCATTTGACGTTGTGTATAGAAGTTTTCTCCTGGAATTTAACTTGTTGACAATACAGCTAGCATATTAGGTAGTAAGTTTTTGTTATCACCATCATCTAGTCACTGTACATTAGAAATAATTATTTGTCTATTCGAATTAGAAACAAGAAACAGACCTTAAGAAAGCAGAACTTAATGAATGCATCCTGCATTCATGTCACTTATCAGTGGATTACTTTAAGTACATGTTATTCACTTAATAACGGATTATAACATATAATGAGTAAATTCATCAACACGATTTGACATAAAAAGAAATGTAAATTGTGTAGTTGAATACGTGTAGAAATACTATGAACTTTGTAATAAGCCCGTACAGCATATTGGTGACGTCTGCGCTGTACATCTGCCAGAGGACACCAGTTCGTTTGAAGTTACAGACACACACACACACAGACAGACACGCACACATTGCTGACGAATGCCAACAAATACAAGACCTGTGAGCACGACTTGACTCCAACTGTCTCCAACCACCTGAACTGTTTTTATTTACATTTCAAAATAATACGGACTGCTCTCTGGAATGTAATGTGTTATTTATGCTATCATCGAAATTTCATTCATTGTCAATTAGTTTACTATATTCAAAAATGTATTTGATTTCCGCTGGATGTCGTTTGTATAGAAGGAAGAGAAAGAAATTGATGGCATTATCACTGCAAAGTATACTTTCTATGTTACTTAATATTCAGAAATTCAGGCTGTCTTCTTTTAAACAAATAGACATTTTCGTATTATTGTTATTATTGTTTAGAATTTGTTGCCAGTTGTATTGATGTTCGATGTGAGTATCACAGAAGGTGAATGGCTAAGAAGTTTGAATCTAACCGATTTATGTCGTTCCTATGATGTCAGTTTGGCTATTCGTCCTACTAAATCAAGAGAATTTCGGAAGGTATGTGTTATTAATAAATCTTATATTCTATTTTCCCAGTATGTATATATAAAAATATATATATATGGTAAAAATTTGAGAAGAAATACACTTAGTAAATTTCATTAGAGTTTTCAAAAATGACTTAACTTTGACTCCGGAACTGAACTGTTAGTGGAGGCGCTGAACAACAACAGTGACACTTCATATTTTTAATTGAAATTCGACATCTGATCGTGATCATTGCATAAGGCTTTCAGCATTTAAAGGGGAATTCCGCTGACTGTGAATCCCACAGGCAACACCACCCTCACAGGAGATCCTCATATATTTAGTTGGTTGGTGACTTCCAAATAAAACGAAGCACACTTCCTCGATTCCACTGCTAGCCACTGTCAACCAAACAACATCATTTTAACCTCAAGCTATTGTTGACGTGTCTGTACTTGAAGCTGCTAACATGTCAACAGAAGCTAATCATTTTGGTGCAATAAAATTAGTCGACGGGAATTTCAAAGTGACAACTTGAACAAATCACCATTCATCTATTGATCTGAAATCTAATAGCCTATACCAGTTTGCTTTACTTTATAGGATGATGATCATTCAGCTTTTGTTTCGTTAAACTGTATATTTAAGGTTAATGAAAAGCTTTTCGAATAGGTGGGAAGGAGTTTTGTCCAAGTTACCTGTGGTTACCTGAACTCCACGAAGAGAAACATACTCAATCAATATAAATACCAGAAACGATTTATTCACCAATCTGTAATTCGATGGAAGTAAATGAATTAATTCACTTCACTAGAAAGAATAATTATTCGGCGTCAGTGAAGATCTGACATTAGTCAGAGAACCACTGAAATACAAGAAGTACTAGATAGTTTTCTCTTCACTTTGGCTCGAGACTCTTCGGAAGTACTCACAAGTGACCAGACCACAGAAAGAACTTACTGCCTTCGTGAGTCATTGAGCTCTGTTCCACTGGTTAAATCTTAAAGTAATCGCCTTGTGTGTTGGTTCCTGACGTGATCTCACTTGAAATCAGTCGAATCTTCACCAACCTAAGATTAAAACATTATTTGGTAGTGTTAATCTTTCAAAATGAATACAAATCAATTTTCGAGTTTATCATTACACTAATTTTGATAGATAGTTAAAACTATCGAGACATTCATTTATAAATTGGATATTGTTTATTGTTAGTTACTGTCGAAGGAGACTGCCGTTAAAATCAATGAATGGGCAAAATATTTTTCAGACATGAATCTATTTCGGGCCTTCTACTTGGGTTTATTAATTTGTAAAGTGAACGCTGAATACTTCAGAAGCGCTTCTGAAATGTAGTTAGAATTTCATACAAAAAATTATTCACCGAAATTACATCTAAGCAAATATTCGTTCTTCCAATGAAATGCTCCTTCCAATGTCTGACAAAAGACTGACTAGTGGGAAAAGAATATTCTTTTTCATAACCTATCCACCACGTCTCACGGTTATGTATCCCTATTAGTTAAAGAATACCCGTCGTTGACAACATTAGTGTTTTTTCAACTAATATCAAATGACTGAGGTGAGTAGACTAGAGTTAGAAGATGTGTAAGTGATAATATGCATAAATATAGTACTAAGTTGAATATCATGCAATTCTAGGAAATGAAAACTTCCTCCGTTGAAGCGTAGTAATAATTGACGGGTGGAAGGAACTTATTGATTCATGACCGAAGGTTACACCCGAAAAGTGTAACATAATGTGTTGTTCGCGAACCCATGGAGAGTCCAGCGAACCTGGATAACATCACTGGCTGTACTTGACTCCCCTTTGTAAATAAAGTCTCAGCTATTTGAGGCGAAGAAGAGGTTGTAGAAAAGAATCTTTTTTGTCTGCAATCAGTAATTTGAGAATTGTATCGGGCACCTTTCTATATCTCCTACTATGACGTTTGAAGACGTTCAGCTGATGAGCGTTTCCATTCCACTTCTGACTGACTTTTCATGAACTGAAATAGTACATGTCTTAGTTATGTAGTGTAGAGATATATGTTGGATTGGATTCGTGAGTCTACAAACCAATCATTTGTCATCTGTTAACTGTCAACATTGATTTTAATTTACTCATTATTCGAGTTCTTCAACTCTTTTGACTCTTGCATCATTCTTTATATTATTTTACAGACTGTTGTGATAAGAACAAGAGAGAGAAATATTCGTTCATTGTATATTATGTGGCAAAGAATACAAGAGTTATTATTACACTATGGTAAGCTGAATCCCTATGATTATTATTTATAAATTTATAAACATTACTATTACTACTAGATATTTAATGTTTATTATTTCTACCTGGTGACATGAAAGAAAACCTACAGATCTGACTGAATGACGATTATCTTTACCAACAGATTATTTTCAGTTTCAGTTGTCATCATGATAATGATAGCCAGCTAGCTAAACAGAGGGTATATATTTGCACGTAGAATGTGATGGCAGATTTGAAATGAAAACTCGGAATGTATCGAGAAAGGAGTATTCTTTATTCAAACGGACTCATTCATAATTCATGATATAGAAATATTTGGAAATTCTAAGCCTCAACATGTCCTGTTTTAAATGTTCTTATATACAAAGGCGTGAATTCCACTGTACTTTGTAATTTTCTCTTCATCTTAAGTCATCGATCGTACATGGTGAAACCAGAATGTGTGTTGTACCAATAAATTTGTCTTGTCCGAGGTCACCTTTTAGAGACCGAATCTACTCACAATTTATCTGTCAGTCTGATGTGCCCACATTCTATCTTGTCAGTCTGTAGTCAGACGAAAACAAATCACATGTCAACTGACGGACGTCAACCAATCATAATGCAGCATGTAGGGAAGGCCTAATATTCAACCCTTCGACTGGATCATTAAGTATCACATATTTCTGTAACCATGGTCGCTCTTTGATCTCACTTGTTTGGAAATTGACGCACCCCCCCCACACCATGTTGATCTTCTGGATTTTACAGATTCGAGTCAGGGTATAATTGATCAGTGACGAGTGTTCACCATCTTAAATCAGCATTCGTATTTATACTCGACGACGTCATAACAGAGACGTATACAAACTTATTGAGAGTTGTCATCAGAAGGTTTCGTGGTTTACAGTCACACTACGGCTGTTTTTTACTCAGTGGGTTGACTGGCCTCACCACCAACCTTCCATTCCTAACTAGCCTTGGAATGAGGCTCGGAAGCTTAGCGACAGGTTGGAGATTCCGGGGTGAGAAGGGGGCGAATGCCTCAGGATTGAAAATTTGTATGACAGTTAGTGAGAATCGCGAAATCAGAATAATCATGGTTATCATTAGTAGGAACAAGCAAAGATAGTAAAAATGAGCCATCATTATGGACAATAATAATCCATGTCAATCCGAATGATGGCTAAGAGCTCGTGAATCCTAGCTTATTATGGGTCATTTATTGTGGGTCTTAATAGACTTTTGAATGAATTCTGATGAGAAGTCATCCAGCAGTAATGGTTTTCTTGTTTATTTGATTTCACTAATTAAATCTGAATAATCAAGTCAGGCGTGACAACCTCCAACGATTTTGGGTACGACGGATCCAGTCTACATACTGATTAAAATATGACTGTTGTCTATAAATGCTAATGCAGCCATGTAAATAAGGAGCATCGGAAGTCCTAGGTGGGATTCCCGATAAGGCTAAAGACAAGGTGACATTCGAACCGGAGACAAGCTCTATCATCTCAGAGACCCAATAGATGGTATTAGGAAAAATAATGTAGTTTACGAAATACCATGCAATAACTGCGAAATCAATTCTATATGTGAGACTGGCAGGAGGGTGTTAGTTACATTATCGGAGAATCTCATTTCTTGTACATCTGATCAGCCTTGTCAGCTAACGTGAAACACGGTGTGGACGTTGTCCTCAGCCTACCTCAGCCTAATTTTGCTTTCGTGGTAAGAACAATTATTGGTCAACTGGCTTCCCGGACTCTTTCACACACTGTTGCATCCATCGTGGGATTGTCGCGTCTTCCTGATTTCGGGAAATAATAAGTTTATTTTTCCTGTGCTTCGAATTTCTCCTCAGGAGAAGGAGTGTGTCTTTCATGCCGATTGTTTGTTCTCTTACGGGTTTACCACTGGCTGGTAAATTAGGTGAGATTTGAAGCAAATAATTAATATATGCACCACAGGTCGAATTATTTCGAAACTCCTTTTCTATTATAGGCATTATTGGTCAGAATTGTTTACTATCTGTGATTGTATATTGTACATCGAAATATATTTATTTGTTCTTCACACTATACAGCAAAAGCAATCGAGACTAGCATTTATGGTTCAAAATGTTTAAATTCAGTGAGCTATCAAGTTAATTCAGGTGAATTATGGCCGAATGATATTTTCAAGTCGAAGAATGAATACAAGGAGGTAGAAAGATTTCCAAATAGGTGAGTAAGTCAGTCAGTCAGTCAGTCAGATGTTGTAGGCATATTTGCAAATTACATGTTTCACAAGTCCATTAAATAATCGAGAACATAGCGACTACGTTTTACTGACTCATTATGATATTATTTAGTTGAAAAAAGCACGATGACAACTAGATCTCACAACAATAGTGAAGTGTATTCTCATTTTTTTAATAGATCTTATTATCATTATTATTATTATTATTGATATTATTATTTGTAGTAGTAGTAATAGTAGTTGTAGTAGTATTTCGTTGCTTTGCTTTCTCAGTGGAACATAGGGCTTCAGGCTAGAGCATTGAAGTTTCAGTAGCACTGGTTCTATTTCTACGGGATGGTGTTGCTAGCCTCACTCCTCACCTTCCCTCTTTACAGCGATCACTACAGGCTAATTGAGGTGAAGGAGTGCATCAGCTGTGTACGAAACCCGGGCCACTTGCGACGTTGGCCAACCTCCTACTACTACTGAACCACTGAGGTACCGCGGTGACTGAATGGTCTGCTAGCTTGACTGTTAACTGGAAATTCGCGGATCCAAACCCCGACGGGTCCGCTTTGACGAACAATCTCAAATTAGGACGAAACAGCCATTTCAGGGCGGAAAGTTTACGAAATTCATGTAGGGAGAGAATGCAGAAACAGCAGAATATGATTCCATGTTTGATTAGCTTATTCGATTGTATCAGAGAATGTGATACAGTGCTAATGATTGAATGGTGTCTCGAGACGAATTTATCGCCTATCATCGTATCAGTCAGTTAACAAGACTTCACAACTTGCTCTATAAAACCTAACTCCTGTTTTTATTAATTATCTTCCCAATACCTATAGTTTCAAAACATCCAATGTAATGAACAACGCTGAGGCCAGTCAGTGAACACTATTCTCCATAAAGCATTTCTTTTCATGTAAAACTGTGTGTAGAAATGCTTAGTTTTAATTTACGATGAATTCAGTATGACTGAAGTGACTAGCGAATGGAAAGTGCAGAGGAGAAGATTAATTCATACAATGAATTGTCTTCACAATGCATCTGTGCCTTGATGAAAGTATATAGGATAACTTTGGAATGACAGACAGGTATAAATGTCACAGGTGATGATGATTGTAGGTGACACTTAGATTTAAACCATGGGAAGATATAAATCAGCATACTCGAGATAACTAAGAAAGCTCTTCTTACTTCGCCATGACACCAAGTCAAACAGGTCATCAGTTTTATTATTATCATAGTAATTCAATGTTGGTTCAATGGATGAGTCGATGATCCTAAACGCAGTGAGTTTTCTGCCCAATGGATCATCACAATCTCCAGGGTAATAATTCCACAGCCATTGCTTCGAATTTCCCCATCGCCGTCAATTTCATTTAGCCATACAATACAATAATTTATCGCTCTCGTTTTACGATGGAATGAATTGAATTATGTAGACATTTGAAGACTAAGCACTAACCAGCTGTTGTAATGAGGAGTCAAGTGAGAGGCGCGATAATTGAGTTTAGCTGTATTCGGTATGCTGTTAAGCTACTGATATATTGTAGATTATCAATGAGTTGGAATTCAGACGAAATTATTAGTAGGCATTTGAATGTTCGAGTGACATACCAGATAGCATCAGTGCTCAAAACTGAAAGGAAGTAATCAAGGGGAATGTGATGCAGTGAGTGCTAACTAATGAGACACAAGTATCTCATATGGGTGTTATGACTGACGTTGTCCATAATCTTCTTAAACCTTTTGAAATGCTCAGAAGTCATGAGCATTATTGTTAGGAAACGAAGCTGGAATGTGTTTTATTGCATTTGCTTTTGCTTTTGTCAATGTACACATAATGATATGCGTGTTTGTTGTTGTTTCTTTCTATGAATGTAAAAAACCTAATTTAGAAGGAGAATAACTTGTGATGATACACAGGGTTATAAAACAATCAATCATGATGAGATGAACAAAGAGAACATGATGTTCGCTTCTCCAACTTTATCATCACATTCAATGAAAGCAACAACATCAAGGAAGCCGTTTGGCAATACTATTTGCAGTAACCAATTAGGTGGAGCAATGAATTCCTATCATCATCATCATCATCATCATCATGATCGTGATCAGAAGGATCGTCTGAGTTTAATGGATTATGAATCGAGTGCAGAATTGAAATTGAAATCTGACAGTATTGTGACCGATAACAGTAGAATATGGAAAGGATGTGACGATTTAAGGGAACGCTTCAATATACAAACAAATGAAATGTATGTCTTCCAGTTGCAGTGCATTTTGAAAACAAGTTATTTTTACTTTCAGTTTGTTAGTTTGTATATTTATGCTTCATAGTAAATTACCGGATATAATATTATTTTAAGTATGAATGTTTAGTCATTCGACTATGAGAGTTTAGTGAGTTTTATGGGATTTTGACAGACCGAGTATTACGGATATTTTTGAAGTCACTGTGTAGTGTGTAGGGATTTGATTAGTGTCAAGGTAGGTTACTATACGAGCTGACATGATTTAGAGAACCACTGGAAATCAGGGAGCACCAGACAGACACTGGTCACGACTTCTCACTGAAACTCAAGGAAGTCATTATAAAACTATTCTACTACTGATTTCTGACTTTGAGATGGTGTTTGTGGGGTTTCAATTAGAAATCGTGGTTAGTGGAATAGATACTCGTGAGTGGTAAGGAAGCTTTTTCGTGATTGGAGAGAAGTTGGAATTGACGGATCATTGAACTACAGCCGGATGGCTGGATGTACAACGGGCTGACATCATAAGCTAATATGGTCATGGGTGCACAGAAGCTAGGTAACCTGCAAACCAAATCTAGCCAATTCTCTCTGTCCATCGGAAACACACACATATGTGTATAAAAGATACTTGATTTCTTCAATAACTGGGGATTTCACCAGTCGTTATCTATAGTCACCAGTGTGCTGTCGTCCACGAACATGTCATAGTGAACTCCGAAACCAATGACATAAGACCACTGGAAACCCAACTCGGGATAAATTGTTGGATTTGGAAAATTGTGATTTTTTAAAATCAGTTTGTAACGAGATTGATGAGTGAACATTGAGAATGTTTTTCATTCTACTGGGGTGACTGAATTTTAATGGGACATCTTAACATAGATGATGACTATTGAGATACACGTCAGTGAATTAGGGGATAGATACTCTTCAACGACTTAAGTTTGAATTGAGTCGTATCTCGAATTTACAGAAGTTGGATCCGTCAATTCCAACTTCTCTCCAATCACGAAAAAGCTTCCTTACCACTCACGAGTATCTATTCCACTAACCACGATTTCTAATTGAAACCCCACAAACACCATCTCAAAGTCAGAAATCAGTAGTAGAATAGTTTTATAATGACTTCCTTGAGTTTCAGTGAGAAGTCGTGACCAGTGTCTGTCTGGTGCTCCCTGATTTCCAGTGGTTCTCTAAATCATGTCAGCTCGTATAGTAACCTACCTTGACACTAATCAAATCCCTACACACTACACAGTGACTTCAAAAATATCCGTAATACTCGGTCTGTCAAAATCCCATAAAACTCACTAAACTCTCATAGTCGAATGACTAAACATTCATACTTAAAATAATATTATATCCGGTAATTTACTATGAAGCATAAATATACAAACTAACAAACTGAAAGTAAAAATAACTTGTTTTCAAAATGCACTGCAACTGGAAGACATACATTTCATTTGTTTGTATATTGAAGCGTTCCCTTAAATCGTCACATCCTTTCCATATTCTACTGTTATCGGTCACAATACTGTCAGATTTCAATTTCAATTCTGCACTCGATTCATAATCCATTAAACTCAGACGATCCTTCTGATCACGATCATGATGATGATGATGATGATGATGATAGGAATTCATTGCTCCACCTAATTGGTTACTGCAAATAGTATTGCCAAACGGCTTCCTTGATGTTGTTGCTTTCATTGAATGTGATGATAAAGTTGGAGAAGCGAACATCATGTTCTCTTTGTTCATCTCATCATGATTGATTGTTTTATAACCCTGTGTATCATCACAAGTTATTCTCCTTCTAAATTAGGTTTTTTACATTCATAGAAAGAAACAACAACAAACACGCATATCATTATGTGTACATTGACAAAAGCAAAAGCAAATGCAATAAAACACATTCCAGCTTCGTTTCCTAACAATAATGCTCATGACTTCTGAGCATTTCAAAAGGTTTAAGAAGATTATGGACAACGTCAGTCATAACACCCATATGAGATACTTGTGTCTCATTAGTTAGCACTCACTGCATCACATTCCCCTTGATTACTTCCTTTCAGTTTTGAGCACTGATGCTATCTGGTATGTCACTCGAACATTCAAATGCCTACTAATAATTTCGTCTGAATTCCAACTCATTGATAATCTACAATATATCAGTAGCTTAACAGCATACCGAATACAGCTAAACTCAATTATCGCGCCTCTCACTTGACTCCTCATTACAACAGCTGGTTAGTGCTTAGTCTTCAAATGTCTACATAATTCAATTCATTCCATCGTAAAACGAGAGCGATAAATTATTGTATTGTATGGCTAAATGAAATTGACGGCGATGGGGAAATTCGAAGCAATGGCTGTGGAATTATTACCCTGGAGATTGTGATGATCCATTGGGCAGAAAACTCACTGCGTTTAGGATCATCGACTCATCCATTGAACCAACATTGAATTACTATGATAATAATAAAACTGATGACCTGTTTGACTTGGTGTCATGGCGAAGTAAGAAGAGCTTTCTTAGTTATCTCGAGTATGCTGATTTATATCTTCCCATGGTTTAAATCTAAGTGTCACCTACAATCATCATCACCTGTGACATTTATACCTGTCTGTCATTCCAAAGTTATCCTATATACTTTCATCAAGGCACAGATGCATTGTGAAGACAATTCATTGTATGAATTAATCTTCTCCTCTGCACTTTCCATTCGCTAGTCACTTCAGTCATACTGAATTCATCGTAAATTAAAACTAAGCATTTCTACACACAGTTTTACATGAAAAGAAATGCTTTATGGAGAATAGTGTTCACTGACTGGCCTCAGCGTTGTTCATTACATTGGATGTTTTGAAACTATAGGTATTGGGAAGATAATTAATAAAAACAGGAGTTAGGTTTTATAGAGCAAGTTGTGAAGTCTTGTTAACTGACTGATACGATGATAGGCGATAAATTCGTCTCGAGACACCATTCAATCATTAGCACTGTATCACATTCTCTGATACAATCGAATAAGCTAATCAAACATGGAATCATATTCTGCTGTTTCTGCATTCTCTCCCTACATGAATTTCGTAAACTTTCCGCCCTGAAATGGCTGTTTCGTCCTAATTTGAGATTGTTCGTCAAAGCGGACCCGTCGGGGTTTGGATCCGCGAATTTCCAGTTAACAGTCAAGCTAGCAGACCATTCAGTCACCGCGGTACCTCAGTGGTTCAGTAGTAGTAGGAGGTTGGCCAACGTCGCAAGTGGCCCGGGTTTCGTACACAGCTGATGCACTCCTTCACCTCAATTAGCCTGTAGTGATCGCTGTAAAGAGGGAAGGTGAGGAGTGAGGCTAGCAACACCATCCCGTAGAAATAGAACCAGTGCTACTGAAACTTCAATGCTCTAGCCTGAAGCCCTATGTTCCACTGAGAAAGCAAAGCAACGAAATACTACTACAACTACTATTACTACTACTACAAATAATAATATCTAATAATAATAATAATGATAATAAGATCTATTAAAAAATGAGAATACACTTCACTATTGTTGTGAGATCTAGTTGTCATCGTGCTTTTTTCAACTAAATAATATCATAATGAGTCAGTAAAACGTAGTCGCTATGTTCTCGATTATTTAATGGACTTGTGAAACATGTAATTTGCAAATATGCCTACAACATCTGACTGACTGACTGACTGACTTACTCACCTATTTGGAAATCTTTCTACCTCCTTGTATTCATTCTTCGACTTGAAAATATCATTCGGCCATAATTCACCTGAATTAACTTGATAGCTCACTGAATTTAAACATTTTGAACCATAAATGCTAGTCTCGATTGCTTTTGCTGTATAGTGTGAAGAACAAATAAATATATTTCGATGTACAATATACAATCACAGATAGTAAACAATTCTGACCAATAATGCCTATAATAGAAAAGGAGTTTCGAAATAATTCGACCTGTGGTGCATATATTAATTATTTGCTTCAAATCTCACCTAATTTACCAGCCAGTGGTAAACCCGTAAGAGAACAAACAATCGGCATGAAAGACACACTCCTTCTCCTGAGGAGAAATTCGAAGCACAGGAAAAATAAACTTATTATTTCCCGAAATCAGGAAGACGCGACAATCCCACGATGGATGCAACAGTGTGTGAAAGAGTCCGGGAAGCCAGTTGACCAATAATTGTTCTTACCACGAAAGCAAAATTAGGCTGAGGTAGGCTGAGGACAACGTCCACACCGTGTTTCACGTTAGCTGACAAGGCTGATCAGATGTACAAGAAATGAGATTCTCCGATAATGTAACTAACACCCTCCTGCCAGTCTCACATATAGAATTGATTTCGCAGTTATTGCATGGTATTTCGTAAACTACATTATTTTTCCTAATACCATCTATTGGGTCTCTGAGATGATAGAGCTTGTCTCCGGTTCGAATGTCACCTTGTCTTTAGCCTTATCGGGAATCCCACCTAGGACTTCCGATGCTCCTTATTTACATGGCTGCATTAGCATTTATAGACAACAGTCATATTTTAATCAGTATGTAGACTGGATCCGTCGTACCCAAAATCGTTGGAGGTTGTCACGCCTGACTTGATTATTCAGATTTAATTAGTGAAATCAAATAAACAAGAAAACCATTACTGCTGGATGACTTCTCATCAGAATTCATTCAAAAGTCTATTAAGACCCACAATAAATGACCCATAATAAGCTAGGATTCACGAGCTCTTAGCCATCATTCGGATTGACATGGATTATTATTGTCCATAATGATGGCTCATTTTTACTATCTTTGCTTGTTCCTACTAATGATAACCATGATTATTCTGATTTCGCGATTCTCACTAACTGTCATACAAATTTTCAATCCTGAGGCATTCGCCCCCTTCTCACCCCGGAATCTCCAACCTGTCGCTAAGCTTCCGAGCCTCATTCCAAGGCTAGTTAGGAATGGAAGGTTGGTGGTGAGGCCAGTCAACCCACTGAGTAAAAAACAGCCGTAGTGTGACTGTAAACCACGAAACCTTCTGATGACAACTCTCAATAAGTTTGTATACGTCTCTGTTATGACGTCGTCGAGTATAAATACGAATGCTGATTTAAGATGGTGAACACTCGTCACTGATCAATTATACCCTGACTCGAATCTGTAAAATCCAGAAGATCAACATGGTGTGGGGGGGGTGCGTCAATTTCCAAACAAGTGAGATCAAAGAGCGACCATGGTTACAGAAATATGTGATATTTAATGATCCAGTCGAAGGGTTGAATATTAGGCCTTCCCTACATGCTGCATTATGATTGGTTGACGTCCGTCAGTTGACATGTGATTTGTTTTCGTCTGACTACAGACTGACAAGATAGAATGTGGGCACATCAGACTGACAGATAAATTGTGAGTAGATTCGGTCTCTAAAAGGTGACCTCGGACAAGACAAATTTATTGGTACAACACACATTCTGGTTTCACCATGTACGATCGATGACTTAAGATGAAGAGAAAATTACAAAGTACAGTGGAATTCACGCCTTTGTATATAAGAACATTTAAAACAGGACATGTTGAGGCTTAGAATTTCCAAATATTTCTATATCATGAATTATGAATGAGTCCGTTTGAATAAAGAATACTCCTTTCTCGATACATTCCGAGTTTTCATTTCAAATCTGCCATCACATTCTACGTGCAAATATATACCCTCTGTTTAGCTAGCTGGCTATCATTATCATGATGACAACTGAAACTGAAAATAATCTGTTGGTAAAGATAATCGTCATTCAGTCAGATCTGTAGGTTTTCTTTCATGTCACCAGGTAGAAATAATAAACATTAAATATCTAGTAGTAATAGTAATGTTTATAAATTTATAAATAATAATCATAGGGATTCAGCTTACCATAGTGTAATAATAACTCTTGTATTCTTTGCCACATAATATACAATGAACGAATATTTCTCTCTCTTGTTCTTATCACAACAGTCTGTAAAATAATATAAAGAATGGTGCAAGAGTCAAAAGAGTTGAAGAACTCGAATAATGAGTAAATTAAAATCAATGTTGACAGTTAACAGATGACAAATGATCGGTTTGTAGACTCACGAATCCAATCCAACATATATCTCTACACTACATAACTAAGACATGTACTATTTCAGTTCATGAAAAGTCAGTCAGAAGTGGAATGGAAACGCTCATCAGCTGAACGTCTTCAAACGTCATAGTAGGAGATATCGAAAGGTGCCCGATACAATTCTCAAATTACTGATTGCAGACAAAAAAGATTCTTTCCTACAACCTCTTCTTCGCCTCAAATAGCCGAGACTTTATTTACAAAGGGGAGTCAAGTACAGCCAGTGATGTTATCCAGGTTCGCTGGACTCTCCATGGGTTCGTGAACAACACATTATGTTACACTTTTCGGGTGTAACCTTCGGTCATGAATCAATAAGTTCCTCCCACCCGTCAATTATTACTACGCTTCAACGGAGGAAGTTTTCATTTCCTAGAATTGCATGATATTCAACTTAGTACTATATTTATGCATATTATCACTTACACATCTTCTAACTCTAGTCTACTCACCTCAGTCATTTGATATTAGTTGAAAAAACACTAATGTTGTCAACGACGGGTATTCTTTAACTAATAGGGATACACAACCGTGAGACGTGATGGATAGGTTATGAAAAAGAATATTCTTTTCCCACTAGTCAGTCTTTTGTCAGACATTGGAAGGAGCATTTCATTGGAAGAACGAATATTTGCTTAGATGTAATTTCGGTGAATAATTTTTTGTATGAAATTCTAACTACATTTCAGAAGCGCTTCTGAAGTATTCAGCGTTCACTTTACAAATTAATAAACCCAAGTAGAAGGCCCGAAATAGATTCATGTCTGAAAAATATTTTGCCCATTCATTGATTTTAACGGCAGTCTCCTTCGACAGTAACTAACAATAAACAATATCCAATTTATAAATGAATGTCTCGATAGTTTTAACTATCTATCAAAATTAGTGTAATGATAAACTCGAAAATTGATTTGTATTCATTTTGAAAGATTAACACTACCAAATAATGTTTTAATCTTAGGTTGGTGAAGATTCGACTGATTTCAAGTGAGATCACGTCAGGAACCAACACACAAGGCGATTACTTTAAGATTTAACCAGTGGAACAGAGCTCAATGACTCACGAAGGCAGTAAGTTCTTTCTGTGGTCTGGTCACTTGTGAGTACTTCCGAAGAGTCTCGAGCCAAAGTGAAGAGAAAACTATCTAGTACTTCTTGTATTTCAGTGGTTCTCTGACTAATGTCAGATCTTCACTGACGCCGAATAATTATTCTTTCTAGTGAAGTGAATTAATTCATTTACTTCCATCGAATTACAGATTGGTGAATAAATCGTTTCTGGTATTTATATTGATTGAGTATGTTTCTCTTCGTGGAGTTCAGGTAACCACAGGTAACTTGGACAAAACTCCTTCCCACCTATTCGAAAAGCTTTTCATTAACCTTAAATATACAGTTTAACAAAACAAAAGCTGAATGATCATCATCCTATAAAGTAAAGCAAACTGGTATAGGCTATTAGATTTCAGATCAATAGATGAATGGTGATTTGTTCAAGTTGTCACTTTGAAATTCCCGTCGACTAATTTTATTGCACCAAAATGATTAGCTTCTGTTGACATGTTAGCAGCTTCAAGTACAGACACGTCAACAATAGCTTGAGGTTAAAATGATGTTGTTTGGTTGACAGTGGCTAGCAGTGGAATCGAGGAAGTGTGCTCCGTTTAATTTGGAAGTCACCAACCAACTAAATATATGAGGATCTCCTGTGAGGGTGGTGTTGCCTGTGGGATTCACAGTCAGCGGAATTCCCCTGTAAATGCTGAAAGCCTCATGCAATGATCACGATCAGATGTCGAATTTCAATTAAAAATATGAAGTGTCACTGTTGTTGTTCAGCGCTTCCACTAACAGTTCAGTTCCGGAGTCAAAGTTAAGTCATTTTTGAAAACTCTAATGAAATTTACTAAGTGTATTTCTTCTCAAATTTTTACCATATATATATTTATATATACATACTGGGAAAATAGAATATAAGATTTATTAATAACACATACCTTCCGAAATTCTCTTGATTTAGTAGGACGAATAGCCAAACTGACATCATAGGAACGACATAAATCGGTTAGATTCAAACTTCTTAGCCATTCACCTTCTGTGATACTCACATCGAACATCAATACAACTGGCAACAAATTCTAAACAATAATAACAATAATACGAAAATGTCTATTTGTTTAAAAGAAGACAGCCTGAATTTCTGAATATTAAGTAACATAGAAAGTATACTTTGCAGTGATAATGCCATCAATTTCTTTCTCTTCCTTCTATACAAACGACATCCAGCGGAAATCAAATACATTTTTGAATATAGTAAACTAATTGACAATGAATGAAATTTCGATGATAGCATAAATGACACATTACATTCCAGAGAGCAGTCCGTAATATTTTGAAATGTAAATAAAAACAGTTCAGGTGGTTGGAGACAGTTGGCGTCAAGTCGTGCTCACAGGTCTTGTATTTGTTGGCATTCGTCAGCAATGTGTGCGTGTGTGTGTGTCTGTAACTTCAAACGAACTGGTGTCCTCTGGCAGATGTACAGCGCAGACGTCACCAATATGCTGTACGGGCTTATTACAAAGTTCATAGTATTTCTACACGTATTCAACTACACAATTTACATTTTCTTAATGTCAAATCGTGTTGATGAATTTACTCATTATATGTTATAATCCGTTATTAAGTGAATAACATGTACTTAAAGTAATCCACTGATAAGTGACATGAATGCAGGATGCATTCATTAAGTTCTGCTTTCTTAAGGTCTGTTTCTTGTTTCTAATTCGAATAGAGAAATAATTATTTCTAATGTACAGTGACTAGATGATGGTGATAACAAAAACTTACTACCTAATATGCTAGCTGTATTGTCAACAAGTTAAATTCCAGGAGAAAACTTCTATACACAACGTCAAATTAATGTCAACAAGTAAAGTACTCAAACTGTGGAATTGTCGACGAACAACATCCATCGGTTACCCTCTAGCGACCAGTCGACATACTGAACAATGCAAACACTTGCTTTCCTTAGAAATCTTTCTCATCTACTAATTCAACTACCACGGCACATAGTGCGAAAAACTCAGTTGGGCCTACTTCTATTCACATGGTTATTTGTTCACTCGTAACATAAGGCATGTTGCTAGGCTATTCAAAGACGAAGTATTATCAATGAGATAGAATTCACATTCACTTCTTCCCATGAATTCGAATACCTTAACCAACACATCTCATGTTACGAGATTTCATCATCCGATGAAGTCGGTTACAGAAGCATTGGAAAACATCTCGGTACTGGACAGCTGTCTCGTCCTAGTTTCGAACTCTGTGGTGGTACGCACTCACCGACAGGATTCCGACCCACGACATTCAGTCTATCGAATTATTTGTTTGCATTTGAGGAATCAATAAATAGACAGACTCTTAGATAGACAGACAGATAGATAGACGGGTTGGCCAACGTGGAACGCTCTCCACCAACTGACGATTTCATCACGAATTATCAAACTAGGTGGAAAAAACTGGTGTGATTGTAAAGACCATGATGGGTAATTACACCAGTCATCTGTCGTACACTCAGATTCCTGCTCAAATGACTTGACAAGAAATCACACAGTCACCTACTTAATTGAACTGAATAAATAAATAAATAAATAAGTAAATACACAGTATAAGACAGGAAATACTTCCTCGTAGCTACATTTTCACCTCTGAAATCTAATCGCCATCAAGATAATGATGGTTGGATGGTCGGTGATTGAGGCAATTCGGAGAGTAAAAACAATTAAGGGAAGCCGACACTTTACTCAGTTATTCACATGAGACAAATGAGAGGTCAGTTTGCATGTGGAAGCCAGTTAGTTCACCGATGATGATGATGAAAGCAAAAGTAAGCATAAGAACAGAGAATGTACGTACCGTGAGTCAATCTCGTTGACGTGGCTGTCAAGATTTAACTAGATATGAGAAGATATGGTATGGTAGTATTACAATTATGTGAGAGTGGATGGAAAGCGGTAGACTGTTCAAATTGTAAACTGGAGAGTCAATAATCTACTCAGGTCATCCAGACGACAGTCACAAATACACTGAGCCTATTGCTATCAGGGATGTGGACAACATCATAAATGGCTCTCATGCAGTGAGAAACAATCTCCTCCACCATGAGAGAAAGATTCAACTCATATGGAACGAGAGCAGCAATGTCACAGAGCTACAAACAATGATGCAAACAAGCCAGAAGCGGTGGAGAAGAAGTAGGACCTCTACGGTGACCTGCATGCAGTAGTGCACAAGATCTTGGGAAGTTGGTGACATCCAAACACCACTGGATGTCATGGTTGCAGACAACACGGGAAGAAAAGATATCATGGAACGGAGGACTGTACGCAGACTTCTGTGCCATCAGTGATCCGATTATTTGAGATAGTGTATATTAACACGATGATATAGATGATACAATGTGTGTTTCCCCAGGTGGACACTGAAAAATCCACATCAGCGTATCAAAAACCAGATGAATTCTATTGCGATCTGAAGAAAGTATCGTGGCAGACTACTAGACAAAAGATCGGAAACGGGAGGATGTGTAGTTATACGCCTGTATCTGTTGTGTGAATTCAGTTTGCCTTTGAAATAGCGAGAGATAAACCTCTAAAAACACATTCGCTACAGTCATTAGAGCAAAATCGATGACTTTAACCAAGGAAACCTGTTCAAGAATGTTGTAACTGATGAAGGTGACGTCGAAGGAATGCCGCATGCACATCCTAGGCAAGAAGGAGAACCAAGTTAACGATAGGCTTTCTGCAGATTTCTCAAAGCTGACAGTAAAGATAAGGATCGTAAAATCAAACATGAACCAGAGCGAAGATGAACAACGAGTAAGGAGGCTGAATATAATCTACAAGTCACTGAACAAAGGAATGAAATTGGATGCCTGCGAAGAAAAAAGACAATTTCACGATACAGTGAAAACTGAAGTAGACCAAGCTGCAGGTAAAATAGATCTGAAAACATTACATCAGATAGCCAGGCCCCTAGCCACGAGAAATCAGTGCAGACGAAACCAATAGAAGACATTGGACGAAAGTCAGTAACCAAAGAGGTGGAACACAGGGAACGCTTGACTAATCACTTCAAAGACTTTCTGAATCGATCACCACATCAATCCTCCGATAAATCAGAAGTTTTGAAAGTCATAAAGTTACTGCGGGGTGAGAAAGCGGCATGACTGAATGGAATCCACGCAGTAGCATTGAAAACGAACCCGAGGATTTGAGCGGGAAAATTTAAAGCAATAGGCTGACGAAGACGGGACTCCAAGTAAACAAAGGAAACAGGTGGTGAAAATACCCAGTCAACAACATCACCAGCTTCACTTACGTAAACTGGACAGCATTTTCTCATCTCTAACCGTCACCTGTGAGGACATCAAAGCCAGTTAGGGTCTAACTGCAGATATACACCACTCAGTACAACGAAGCACATCGACATTTTGAACAGTTCTGATAACGTCTGTTTCTTTACCACCTTAACTTTTTATTTGCTTTTTAATCCGTCTTCGTCATGTGATCTGTTACATATAACATAAGTTTCAGCCTCAACTTTGACTCAGTATTGTATCTCCACTATATGTGAGTTATGGTACTAAAGCCTGTAATTCATTCATGCCTTTTAATTTCATTTGTTATGCATATATATACATATGTAAAAATATGAACCATTTAGTAGAAAAAGATGAGTAAATGATCAACTCCATGATTAAGTGAATTATTATTCAACATTGGTTAGATGAGATTGGTCAGCGTGATATCTAATAATCCAGACATTTTTGAACTGTGATGATTAACCCATAATTGTACTTACCATGATCAATTGTCTAGCTGAAAAAACACTATTCAATTTGCCGTATATGTGAATCGCACTCAAACTTATTTTATTATTATTATTAACTTGACTTATTGGTGGTGAATATTTGTTGTTTAAGTTGAGTATTAAAATCTTTGAATTCTGATTGATATTTGAAGAATTTATAGTGATTTGATAATATTTTTGTTGATTTAATGATAATGATGATATTGGTAGGGATGAAGATGATAGTAATGAACTGAAAGTGTAGGGCAAGGGAGACGAAGAAGAACAAGAATAAATATAATGTATTGCGGCACCAGTTTCCTTGTCAACCAATTGCTGTAAATCTACTTGTGAAATTTCGTTGAATAATACAGATGAATTGTAAGAATCCATAGGCATGTAAGTGTCAACCGTTGAAGTATCCTAAATGAGGATAATGAATATAATACAAAGTCACATCATTCAATTCCAATTCAGTTATTTAGATCTTAACAAATTTCATGTGATAATCAAGTCCTAGAAAGTTCACAGTAATCGCTATACAGGTGATTTGCTCATTCAACAAATCAGTAACCATCTCAGG